ATAGAGGGCATGCCCTAATTGCCATTTACCAAAAATTTCAACAAAAGCAAATATTTGAACTCCCTCCATTTTATAAGAGCATGTGGGGCTAATGAAATTGTGCCACATAGCAAACATTTCATTAGAAGAGGTTGTTTTGATGCCCAAATATCATAAAATTGATCATCTCGATATCAAGATGGATGGATATGAGAAAAAAAATGGATTTCAAGTTTTGGAAATAGTGGATATTGTAACGCATTTTTTGACCATCAATTTTCAAGATTTTTAAGGTTTCATAGATCTACTCGATCTACGCTATTTTTTAATCTTTAAATTTTATAATTCAAGATGAAAATATATTTCAAGGCTATTACAAAAATGTCTAGTATTGAAACCATATTTCTTGATACTATTTAAAGGTGGGCTCTAATGTGATTGTTATATGGGAAAAGTTTATATAGAGCCGAGGCTCTAAACAAACCGCACCCTCTCTCTCTATATATATATATATATATGGAGTTGGATGGATTGATTATTGTTTTGAGAAATACAAATTTCTTTACCACTTATTCTTTTATTTTGTGACACTTAATTTCTTTAGAGTAGAAGAGTATTGATTAGTTTTTTTTTCTTTTTTAAAAAATGTTGAAATCATTATCTTTCTTCTTCCTTTCAGATTTTGAGATTCTAGCATTTCCATGCAATCAGTTCCTCCGCCAAGAGCCAGGGACAAGTGAAAAGGCAAAGGAGTTTGTATGTACAAGATACAAGGCAGAATTTCCGGTTTTTGAAAAGGTAAAAACATGCATGAAATGGGAATAAATTGTGCCACAATTTGTGAATTATGTTGATTGATGCTTTTAGATTATGATCAAATTGTAGTTGGAAAGAAAAGAAAAGAAAAAGAAAAAAGTGAAATTTGGTTTTCTTTCTAGTTAGGATACTCTTGAAACTGGTTATTGTTTATTTTGATCGGTAGATACTTGAACATGTGGCATTCATTTCCATGTTGAAAAGCTCTAGGTAGCTAATTTAGGGTTCTTTTACATTGTAAGTCCATTGTCAAATGAAGAAGTATAATTGGCAGGCAATGATGTGGAAATATGATTGGTTGTTATAACCATTGTTCGAAAAATTGAACCAACTTCGGAAACCAGCCAAGGGTTGGTTTTGAGTAACTGGTTCAACTGGCCTAATCGGGCAGGTCCAGGCCGGTCAAAAAAATGTTACAAATTATAAAAAATATATTTAAAGCATGATTAAACAAAGCACACCCAAATGAAGTTGAAAATTAGTGAAAAAAATAGATTTTAAAAATTAATTTGTGTTCAGGGGTATTTTGAAATTTTTAGAAAAGATGAGAAAAATATAAAAATAAGTATTTATGGCCAAAACATTTTCTAGTCTTTTCTAAAGTGATAAAAAACGTTAAAAAACACATTAGAAACAAATCCATTATTTTTTACGATTTTATATACCTTTATTATTATTATTTTTTAAATATCCTGCAGGAGCACCAAAACCGGATCGGCTAGTGCCTGGTTCTAGTTGGACCAACCGAGTTTGCGAACACTAGTTACAACTAAACTTGAGTATCATGTTGTTAAGGGTAATTTATCTCCATATCTCAATATTTTGAACCTTTTTGAGTGTAATGTTGATGAGAATGATGACTTTGTAGTGAACTAAATTCGATCCTCTTTGAATTTTTTTTAAGACTTCCTTTTTTAGTGTAATGTTGATGAGAATGATGAATTTGTAGTGAACTAAATTTGATCCTCTTTGAATAAGGTGGATTTCATCTTAATGTAAATTGAATTGTAAACCCTTGTTAAGTTTGCAACAAAAAGTGTGGTTCAATATTGGCTCAGTTATTTATATGTTTATGCTTAATTAATGCAATAAACAAGGGAAGATAATAACCCAGTCTCATTTGAATAAAATGAAAGTACATTATTTATCAATGCAAAAGAATTTTGTTTTTCCTGACCGGAGGGATGGTGGCTAGTCTTAGCTTTCAAATCCATCCCATATTCCTGTGTCTGGCCAGGCCACAAAAGAAATTATCCACCACCCATTGTTCTGAAAAAAGATATAGGTGAAGTGTATGATGTGGACCGTTTGCTTTTGGTAGAAGAAAGTCACAATCATTTTTAGCCATTATATGTAAATCAGGCGGATAGGGATGCACTGTTAATTATTTTCAAAAGATTTTTTTAAACTTTGTGACACTCGCTTAACAACCTGATTTTGCATTGGATGGCTATGAGTGAATGTGACCTTCTAGCACCGAGCATAAACCACTTTATAGTATACAATCCCAAATATATAGTAGCCTTAGATAAAGAATCCCTCTCTACAAGTATGAATTTTTTTCCTTTTGCTGAATGTAAGTATATCTAAATATCATTTAGGAGAACCATTATGCCCTTATTTTTTTCTTTGACTAGTGAAAGCATGGGAATTGAACCTTAACCATGGATTTTCATACTAGGTATTCTATAGCCCATATCTCTAGACCAAACCCTTTCATTCTTATGGCATGTACATTTTTGAGTACCTGTATTTATCAGAATGATTTTTTTCCTGTTTTTTTCTTCCATGGAAAGTTCATCGAGTTAGCATGTTTTAGTTGCTTCCAATGAGACTAAACCGAACTTCATAGACAAAATTACTAGTGAAAGTGATGAGGGATTATTTCTCAAAGTAATTTACTGTATGTATGGGCAGACCAATTCTTATGGGCAATATTGACTGATATTATTATCTTTGCAGGTTAACGTAAATGGCCCGAACGCTGCTCCCCTATACAAGTTCCTCAAATCAAAAAAACATGGATTCATGGGTGACAGGATCAAATGGAATTTCACCAAGTTTTTGATCGACAAAAATGGTCTTGTCATCGGCCGTTACTCTCCTGCAACCCAACCTTCATCAATGGAGGTGAGCCATAGCATCATTCATCTGCAATTTAAAAAGTTTCCATCTGTAGCTCAGCAAATTGATGTGGCCATTTTTTCTACAATTTAGCGAGTTTTCATCTGTAACTTAAAAAATATCTGTGGTCCCTTGATTCACATATTAATGTGTATGTGTGTGTGTGTTTATGTGGAATTTTGCAGGCTGACATCAAAAAGGCACTGGGGCAAATCTGAGAGTCCAAGCTTTGTTGCTCCATTTCCAATGGCCGGTTCCTGTAGAAATTCTTTGGAGGACAGTGTTATTAATTCTTTCTTTTCAATTGAATAATCATTTGTCTATACAATTTTGCATGTCCGTCCTATTAATGAAAAGGAAAAAGTTGAATAGAGAGGTGATTTAACATTCAAGTTCAGAATCTCCCTAAATTACAAGTTCAGAATCCAAATCTCAAATCTCCCTAAATTAGTAACTGGAAATTCTCAAATAACTGGAAATTCTCAAAATCTCCCTAAATGGCAAGTTCAGAATCCAAATAACTCTCTCTCTCTCTCTCTCATTTCTACTCTCTCTCAACCTCATGCACAGAACGTAAACTCGCTTTCATACAAGCAACTCTCGTACTTTGATACAAGTACGGGTAAAGTTTATCACCCTTAAAACTGTCAAAATTACAAGTTTACACAAGGCATACCTTTAAATTTGCCCAAAGTTGCGACACCCTTAAACAGTCAAAATTACACGTTTATACAAGGCATTCCTTTAAATTTGCCGAAAGTTGCAATTCAAGCCTTGCGGCATGAAAATCCATTGTCACCAATGAAATTTAAAACTCTTAAAATGACGCAAAATCGAGCAAATCCATAAATTTGAAGATTGAAGGTCTAGATCATTTTCATGATTAAAATTTTTTTTTCTTCATATCCATACATTTTGAGTTCAAGATGATCGATTTGAGTCCAACATAAGAACACAATGTTTTAAAGGATTTTTGAGGTGCGCCTTACTTCCACAATATAGAGTCACCCCCTTAGGTAAACTTTTTCCCTTGCACATTCTCTTTATATCTCACTTTCGGTAACCTTTTTCCCTTGTACATTCTCTTTATATCTCACTTTCATTCAAGGGCATGTATAGTACCTTCTCTCAAGAAGGTAGTACACATCTACTTAGTAGAAGACCCGTATGGGAGGATTTTTTACTATTGGAAACCACTTAAACTATTAGATGACTATTTTTCGAAGGAGAAAATTTGAATTTTAGTTCTAATACTTGGATCTCACCTTTTATAATTTCGATAGTGTTCATTCAATCTTGAAATTATTTTTTAAGTGCATAGAAAATGCAATTAGGACGTTTTTTTAATTGAGGCTTGTCCTTTTGAAGCGGTCCCATCCCTAAAATTTGGAGAGCTGAAGTCAATCCTAGTTGGATCTTACCCAATAGAGAGTAAATGGATGGTTTTCGCTTTACACAAACAGCTCTCTCTCGTACTTCGTACCTCTCTCGCTCGCTCTCTCTCTCTCAGCAGGACAGCCCACCAGAGCAAATGACCTAATTCTCATATAAAACAAGGAAACCCTATAAAACATCATCACATAATAATCATTCAATGAATCCTACTCCATTTTTCTCTATCAAAAGCCACACCATCAGTAAAACCAATAAACTTTTTAAAACACATCCAAAAAAACTTCGAAGAAAGAATTTGAAAAGACAATTCGCCTAACCAATACTCTCTCAATGTCAAAAGACCAAAATACCTCCTCAATTCATTAATTTGGCCAAAGAATATAGGACATGGGGCATATATGTGCAATTGCTCGACAACGAACACATTGAGGGAGAAAAAAAAATAGACGGGTATACTAGTATGAAGACTAACCTGCAAAACAATTCAAATATATTCCCCATTTATGCAGAAACTTTTTCAGGTTAAGATGCCTGTCAATAGACCTTGTATTTACATGACAAAAGAGATAGAAGATTCTCGGCCATTGCAAACTGAACCCAGACTTCATGAAATAAAAGGAAAAAGGATTAAAAACGTGCACCAGTCATAAAAGCTAAGCATCTCTGTATCTTACTGAGAGTTGAGATTAACTCAATTAAATGTAAGTTCATCTTCTAGGAAATGCCATCCTTCTTCAGAGGAAGACTTTGCCTTCTGATCACCGTCGATTTTGCTCTCGATTGTTTCCTGACTGCTCGACAAATCTCGGGACGCAGTTTCAAAGGACTCACTGAGCCCATAGCGGTTAGGCACCGTGTTAAATTGGGGGCGCCAGTTACTAGAGTCCAGAGATCGGCTCCTCATAGATGAGGTAGAAGATGATAGGACACTTACTGCATCCTTGTCCTCTGATGACTTTGGCAGTCTAAGACTCATCTCGCCTATCTTAAGCCCCTTATCGAATTTTTCTTTGAGGGCACTCACGTCCTCGCAAATTACTGAAATCTCTCCTCTGCAGAAGAAAATGCAGTTTTAAGTAGGACTTTTTTCTAGATAGGAGGAGCTATGGAAATGACACTATCACAATGATAAAGAAGACATGCATGAGATTTTTTCTAGATGGGAGGAGCTATGGAAATGACATATCTAAATGACAAAGAAGACATGCATGACAAGTTATCTGTTCAGGGGAATTAAAAAAAAAACTCGAAAGCTATCACCAATTTTACAAGACTGATGCATGTGTATTTCTGCATTTGTTGTATTTTGGTTGTGAACAAACAACAAAATATTGCCATTTCTGATATTTAATTGTAGCCCAATAAAATATTTTACAGTGTGCGTTTTGCACACAGAGAGACAGATACGGATACTTTCTTTTAAAAAGATAATAACAGAAGTACTCCCATTTCCATAAATAGTTTAAAACCAGCAGAGAATTTTAACTTACTGTAGAGTGTCAACTATTCGGCCTCGGTCAATCAAGAACTCACGTAACTGCAAGAGAAGCAGATATGTCATTATCACAACGATTAACAGAAACAGGAAACATGCAAGAAACATGAAGAATTTGGCGTCCAAATCGAGACCCCACAATTCACTTGAGCATTGTTAAAACTACTCGTACCAAGTAATTGGAGGACTCGCGTTAGTTCACATTCTATGAAACAGTTTGGATTTCTGGATTTTCTCTCTCTGATTGATAACAAAATGAGCTTAGATTAAAGGGTTTAATTTTACTTCTAGGATATTTCATCACAATTCATATTAATTTTGGGATGCGGTCTCCACAGTTCACTTGAGCTCATAAAACATTTTCTACCAGTGACTGTAGAACATATCAATTCACTTCTTAACAGTTTGAATGGCTGGAATTTCCTTTTCTTGATTGATAACAGTATGTCACAATGAGCTTAGATTTCTAGATTTAATTATATTTTTAATAGTTCATCACAACTCAGCTATTGATGTTGGGGTTTGGTCTCTATGCTCAGAGTATAAGTTGCAACTCTTAACATCCATATTTGAAATCCAGTTGACCACCTAAAGAAAATGTCACAGTTCTTTTCCACTATAAAACAGAAGTCCTCCCAAAATACTATGGAGAAAATAAGTCATTATGGTCTTTTCCACTATAAAAAAGTAAGTCATCCTACAATACTATGGAGAAAATAAGCCATTACACAAAACATGCAGTTTGAATAATTGTGGATAATATCTCTCTTAGTCCCTGATACCTAGTTTGAACAATTATCGTTTAAATCTCTCATAGACCCTTTTAAATGGAGAATAGGAATCCAGATGGGCAGTTCAAGCTTTTATTCAGATTCAAGAGTTGGAAAAATTAGTCCTAAACCCAACATAATACCACTGAATTTTGGAATTTCAGAATGACCATCTTGAACTGGATAACCTCCCATTCTCTTTGTACAATAGAAAAATCTCTATAACAACTAGACTCTCAAATAGAAAATCAAATCTAGCTTCTATTTTCAGATTGAATCTACTGGATGAACTGTTTAGATTTTGATCCTCCTATATAAAACTGTATAAAAAATTTCACTCCATTTCAGAATACAAAGGCCAGGATATGGAGGTGTTACTTATAAAGTAGTTATGGAATTCCAAGCCATTCACCATAACCATGGCAACAACAAATGGACAAATTTGAAGTTTTGAACAATATATGTCATACAAAGTTAACCTTCTTCAAAAAACAATACATGTCATACATTGGGAAATTCAGCCTCATAAAATGAGGAGAATTTGCTCATTCTAACCAGTAATTTGATCATTTCCTATTAACAGGGGCCATATCTGAGAAAGAAAGAAATGTGGTCTTCGTGAACATTTGACATTTGTTTGGAGTGTACTTCAAGAAAATTTGAAGACAACATGATTAAAGAAATTGAACTACATCATCCATAACTTTCAAGCATACCATTATCAAAGCAGAAAACATAAAAAGAGAGAAATTTCAGATTAGTCATCTTCTTACCTTCGAATTTTCTTCTGCTGCTTGCTGAAGTTTCTTGGACTCCTCTACCACCTTCTCCATGATAAGTTCTTGTTCAGCAAGAGCAGCAGATGCAGCATCTTCCTTCAGTTGTTTTTCTCTCTCCGCGGCTACTCTTTGTTCTTTTGCAGCCGCAATCCTCACTTCTAGATCGCTGCGCATCTGGGTACAATACATTCATAGTTAGAAAAGCAATCCAATCATAGCTACAAAACAACATCTCTCTCTCTCTCTCTCTCTCTCTCTCTCTCTCTCCCAAAGAAAAATGCAAATGAGCACACACGCTCGTGTGAATTTATAAGTGCAAAGCTTGTTATCCTGCAGTAAGATATGACAGACAACATCCATTTTTCCATCTTACTCCTCTGACTGGAGTACAATCAACCATACCACAATACCGAAATGGAGTAAGTAAACCCTTTAATAATTAAAAGCAATATTACCCACACACGTCTAGAGATGTACCATGCGTACCTCAGTGTTAAATGTGACATCCTAGAATTAAGACACAGGAGGACACAACTGTGTGCGTCAATGGGATAATCTAATATTAACAACACCTAAATTCGAAGGCTAAGTTTAGAATTTGTGAAGGGTGGTTTGTTTTTTTTTTGTGTGTGCACGTGCGTGCATGCCTGTGGGCGTGGGCGTGTGTGTCTATATCTGTCTGGCACTTGAAGTGCCGGAATGATATACTCAAAAAATAATCGTGCTTTGTAGTTCGGCACTTGAAGCCAAAACAAGAACCACCAAAACAGATAAATAAATAAAAGGGGAGTTATAACCCTCAACCCTCAATGTGGCAATGGTTTAGATGGGGGATACCCCCCTTCCCCCACTTTTTTCACTCATGGAAGAGCTTTTGTTTTTAACAAAGATGTCATATCTTCAAATCTTGTTGGGCCAGCTTTCACTTCCATAAACCAAGACACCCCATGTCCGAATTGTATCAACTTTCCTATAATGATAAAAGTGTTGTACAAACAAGTGTCCCACCCTGGTATCTAGGAGTTTCGCATCATGCTGACAAAGCAAAGTATGTCTAGACTAGGCCAATTTTGGAGTGCCTGAGTAGTATATGTTAAACGCATATTGCGCAAACCACGATCTCAAATTCTGATGTCTTACCAAACCTACATGGACCCAACATGTGTCTAAGATCTAAAACAAAAGCAGGCAAAACAACATTGGCACCAATTACATAGAAGTGACATGCATGATCCCAAATATTGAGACATAAGATGCAAGCATGATTTGAGGGAAGCGCCTTTATTACCATTATTAAATTCTTTCAGCTTTCTACAAGTATAAGCTCATGATGAACTACTAGAGTAAGCCTGAATCATGACCCGTCTACTGTAATCCTATATTTTATATTTTAAATTATAAACAAAAGTGTCTTATCCAAAATTTCAGAATTAATATCTTGATGATGCATCACGACATGCTAGAATAGGAGGAACCAAAAATTCATTGTAAATGTCATTATCTGAGCTTTATGTCAGGCATCTCTTACATCCTATTTCTGCAGAAATTTTGAAGCAAAAGCAGCACATAGGTGAAAACTCCATTGAAATGGCATCCTACTATAAATTAAAGAACATAAATAGTCTTCTTCAAAATTCTCAGAATTTATATGTTGAAGATGTATCATAACATGCTAGAGTAAGAGGAACCTGAACATTCATCCTAAATGTCATTAGCTGAGCTGTACATCAGAAATTTATTAATTACTAGTTCCGCAGAAAATTTTAAAGCAAAAGCAGAATGTGGATGAAAAAAACCCATTTAAATAGCATCATCAAAACTGTACGTCTGGCATGGATTGACATGCATGTTTCTGGATGAAATGAAAAAAAAGAAGCGGACCCAGCAAATAGATGGAAGGGGATATATGGCAGTTAACTCACCTCATCAATGACATGAAGAAATTTATCTTTTTCTTCTGACAAATGCAAAAGACGGGATTGAAGTTCCCGTGCCTCAGTGGCTAATATAGATTTCTCTCCATAAACTTCCCCAGAATGCTGCCAGATGACAAATAGACTCAGTGCTTTCTTTCTTGTTCATGGGTTTTAAAGTAGACAACATATAGATAAATAATCATATCATTCAAATTCACTTGAAAATTGAAGCTCTAAGCGCTAACCAAATCATTAGCCTCTTTTGCACGTGATAACATCTGTTTAAGATCCTCCACTTTGGTAAGGATCTCTTGAGCCCCTTGATCTGCTTCTTTTTTAGCTTGTCCAGCGGCTTCCTCTTGAACCTCCGCCTCTTTGACCAAACCACGCAATGATTCCATAGCATCTAACAAAGTTTTCTGCATTTGAAGACCATTAGTAACTTCATTAATTGCAACAACGTTTTCATTGGCAGCAAATCCAGTTATTTCAAACGTTTCAACAACAAATCATCTAAGGGAAAATCATACAAATACGAAAGAAGGCAACCAAGGGAGTTCTGATTTCAGTAAAAAGAAGTAAAATCAAATTTTAAAGTTCGAATATAAAGGAAGTCATATTTCAGAGCTCTAAACTGGCATAAGGAAGCAAATAGAGGGCTTGAAAACAGTGATACAGTTGTATATCGCTCTAACTATGTAAAATTGATATCTGAACTTTTGAAGGACATGCCCTCCATGTCACAAGAGGGTATAAGGAAGGAGATAAGATCCATCCATGTGGTAGAAAAGCATGCCTAAGAGAGTTAAAATTCTAAAGATTCTGTAGATGAACATTAAAAGGCCATAAAGGTGGCTGATAAGTTAAAAGAAATTCTTGATATTCCATATACCTACGATATTCTTGATACTCTTGACAAGTTATTAGGATGGCCACCAAATGGGGTCCTCTGAAGCAGACATTCCAAGGGTACCTGCCTACCTGGTCACCACCTAAACTTTGGGAAAGGCCTTAATTGGCAAGTCCCTGGCATTAAAAAAATAAGTGGGAACTCAACATGTAGTTTTTATTTTTCGATTGCTGGAACCTCATACATGGTTTAACTCATATAAGGTTATGGATTTAGCTATCCTTATCTACTGCTATATATGGGAAATAGATCATCAGCAATTGAATAGGAGAAAGACAATTGGATAACATAAAATGAGTTGCCAATTATATGGGTGCAGTTGGCATACGGATGCATTTGTAGCTGTAGAGGTAAGGTTGAAGCAATCCCGTTCAAGTATTTCAATGGCTGAGATTGCGCACTAAGACCAAGGGGAAGACCAGCGCTCACCGGTGCCCCAGTTTTCTTCCCTCTACCCATTAACTAGAGAGAGAGAGAGAGGCAGCTGGGTTTCAATAGAGAGAGAAAAGGTCTGATATGCATTTCTCTCAGATCTGCATCCATCGTTGTTTTAAATTAGGAAGTAATAGAGAAAAGGTGTAGAGAGAAAGTTCTAGAGAGAGAAAGTGTTTGGTGAGAGAGAGGGAAGTGAGGTGCAAAGTGCTCAATTTCTGCTGCACTCTTCTGCCATGGTTGCTTATTTTTCTCTGCAATTTTGCCGAATTTCAGTGGTTTTTGCAATGCATTCTGCGATGCTTGAAGAATGGGTGGAGAGGGGCTCTAATGGTGAGGCCTGTGAATTTGAGAAGAAAGAAGCCAGTGAAGAAAAGGAGCTTTCTGTTCTTCCGAGACACACCAAGGTGTGGTCATTGGTAATACTCGTGCCAAATCTGTGTTGTGGGTCTTCAAGGTGTTGTGAAAAAGCCAGTTGGTCTTGGAGGGTGGATTTTTTTTGTTCTTACCAATGGCATGGAGGTGAAGTTACAGACGAATGCCTTGAGTGTTATTGAAGCCCCCACTAGGTATTCCCGATTGGAAACCAAAGCCCAAACCAGAAACCACAAAAAGGTGAGGTTTTTTTTATTTTTTTATTCTATACAAATGGGGCTTATGCGAAACCGCCATGGACTTTGCACAGAGAGTAGAAAAGGTAAGGTGGTTTTCTTAAGACATGGTGCAGAGAAAGGGAGACTAAGAAACCACCATTGACACCACTAAAAATCCCCTTTAAAAACAAGTAAGGAGCTTTCACCTGAAAAAGTTTCCACTTTTCTCAGTTTATATCAATGATCAAGACCCATACGAGAGAATCATGCAATGCAAAACCGCCATGGTTTTGATGAGAGAGAGTGGTGTAGGGTGGAGACAGAGAGACGCACAACTGGAAGGGTAACCGGTTGCTTCTAGTTGGAAGTATTGGCGTATGACATTCAAATGTGAAATCTGAACCATCCAAAATATTGGAAGGTTTATAAGGCTGCATCCTTAGCCATTGACGTAAGGATGCAACCGTATATAAACTTTTCCCCAATCATATACATGACTTGGAGCATACGATGCCCATCTACTTTCACTACCGTAGAAATTGGCAGCAGGTTCTTTGTGTCTCAACTTTTAGGTCATATTATCCAAGTATCTCAAGTTTTGATACAAAGCATGTGAAGTGAAAAAAAAAACAAAAAAAAGACACATATTGAACTGTGTGCAAATTAACCTAAATTTAAAAGACAAAAATTCCAAGATCAATCTTAGCTCCTAAAAAACACATGAACTGCCACAGAATCACTAAGCCATTCCAATAGTTTCTCATATTACATCCAGGCTTCAAAACTACCACTGGCATAAAGTGTTACAAGATAATTCTAGAATGGGAAAAAGACAATACCTTATAGTTCCTTGATTCTCCAATGAAATCTTCAAGATCTTCAACACTCGGGGTATGAGCAGATTGGCTACTCACGCTTGAAGAGTGATTCTCATTATCTATCCCTTCAGAAGAAAATTCATTGTCAAATGTCAAAATCTGAACATCGCTCCCCAAGGAGCCTTGAAGTGGAGGTTCCTCAGTGGCAACAACATTCCCCAAGGAACCTTGAGGTGGAGGTTCTTCAGTGGCGATGCCAATTTCACTAAATTCCTTATAATTGTGAGACTCTCCAATAAAATCTTCAAGCAAATCAATATCAAGACCAGATTTGCACGCTATAGTTGGAGATTGATTCTCATTGTCTGAATGAGGTAACTTATTGTGACATATCAAAAGTTCAACATCACTTCCCAAGGAACCCTGAGCAGAAGATTCCTTGCTTGCTACGCCAAGTCCACTGAAGTCCTTTTCCAATACTAAAGACTCCAAGTTATCTGCCCTCTCTTCATGATGTAGCAATGGCTCGACCTGGATCAACACGTTGTTTGCAAAAGATTCAGCCTCCAAGTACGAATCATGATGTTCACCCTCTCTACCTTTATCAGATGCTCCCACAGATACACTATTCGAGTGTGGTAGCATGGAATGAAGGGAATCATAAGAAGTATTGGCTTTATATGATTCAGTGTTCATTTCAGAAGATAGAGGTGAGTGTGATTCCTTCGATGAAGAGTTCAGTTCCTCTAATTTGTGGTCCCCATTCTGCATTTTATCTGTCACCAATTATCGAAAGATTATGCAGAATAATAGCATTAAGAAGCAATCCACACTTTCATCAAGAAAGCAAATCCACATACAGAGATAAATGGACTATCATAATATGCAACAGAATTACCTTCTCCTCCCATGTTTTCACGAGGTGCTTCCTCTAGATATTTAATATTTGGGATAACATGGTCCATGAGAAAATCCATCGCAGCATCTACATTATCAGAATGCTCAAAGGCAACTGCTTTTAATATTCGCAAATCAATCTGAAATTATTGATAACAACCAAACAAACAAGGCAACATGAATAAAAATATACCAAATCCAGAAAAATTAAACAAGCTACAAAAATGATAGCAAATAGTGTCAAACAAAGATCCATGATATACTCTTTAACATGATAATTGTCAATTCTATCTTTCTGGTGTCATTATTTTACATAATTTTCTTTTAATCCACACACGTTCACTCCAAAATCGTATCAATCAAGACTTAAACATGATGATGTTAGGATTGCTAAAGACGATAGATAGAATCAAACAAAGTAAAGTAGCAAACTCATCGACAATATACTTAGCTCATTGATGAAGCCATCGAAACCCACAAAATTAAGCCCTTAATTCTATTCACCCAAAAATAATCACAAATACAATAATTCTTTTAAGAATAAATAGCCAAATAACAAGTAGAGCATATCCATAATCGTGAAAAGGGCATCATACCTGAGGAAACACTTCTTGCAACACATTGAACACAGATTTGGAGTCCATTTCCTTCTAATCAATCAATCTGAAAAAAAATAAAAAATAAAAAATAAATAAATCCAACATCTGCAAGCTTAATACTTAGTAACATTTGAAATAACCAAAAAAAAAGCTTGAAATATAAACAAGGAAATAGAGAAAAGAAAACAACAAAGTACATAACAAGGTCACGATACTCCTAATTTCCTAAAAACCACAAGTGAGGATTCACTTCAGAAAAAAAAGTACAAAACATTATTATTATAAAATTAAGCAAAAAAGCAATCAGAAACTCCTCCAACTTGATAACTCATCTACAAAAAAAAGAAAAAAACACCAGGAGTTGCTGATAAGAAGGCCGTCCCAATTAATTAATTTAATTTTCAAGATTCTCATACAAATCATCCAATGGAAATGACTATACATCACGATCAAGAACAGGAATAACTCCTTGAAGAATTACAGATCAATATATATAAAGTAATTCAAGACACAACAAACAATTGGAAAAAGTCCCGATTACAGTTTAAGCATAGGTTATTACAGAATAGGAACAACAACAAGACCATGGCCAGTAAAAAATTATAGAGAACATGTTGAAATTCAAAGAAGAAGAATTTTCATGATCAGCGATCATCTGATGGATTATTCACCAAACATACCATAATCCAGCAATCAATTCAGAGAGAGCGAGAGACTAAATGGAGAGAGAGAGCTTACCCACTCAACCAAGCCTTTGCATCAGAAATCGAACAGTCCGTTTGCCCCTTTTTATTCATCGCGCTTACGCCATTACTACTTACTCTCTCTATCTCTTTTTTAAGAGAGAGAGAGAGAGAAGAGGGCGATGTAGTCCCTATCTTTTAAGGGAATAGCAAAAAGGTCTTAATCTTTTAACTAATGACGACGCTGCCCCTAATTTTGATGAGTTTGCAATATAAACTGTGCTAAGATTTTGTGCACCAAGAAGTCCAAAAAGTAGATTAATATTCCACCAATCGAACGTGTCTTCTTTGTTAATTCCTTGAAAAGATTAGTTAGGTTTAGAAACTCAATATAAAACTAAGGAAATTTTTAGGTTTTTACTATGTTTATATTTACATAAAAGGAGAAGTTTTAAGGAGGTTGCAACTTTAAAATGTAGAATCACATATGTACCTCAAAAATCTATAGGAAATATTGTTTTAATGTTGAAAAAACCCTCTAATCGATCATCTCGACATCGAGATGTATGAATATGAAAAAAAAATATTTTTGCGTTCCGAAAATAGTGCATCTTGCAACACATTATCTAGATCATCCATTTTCAAGATTTTCATATATTTATAGATCTACTTGATTTTAAATATTTTTGCTTTTTAAAATTTTTTAATTAGGTATGAAAATAGATTTTAAGATAATACTAAAATAAAATTTAACAAAATTACATGATAAAATTTTAAGGTACACCTTAATTGCATTGTTTATATAGAAACCGCACCCTTACATAAATCTCACTTTTTTTATTTTAAAATTTTTGAAATTGAGGATACTGGGTGTTTGATGCAGTGCGTAACATAATTATTGGACTCCATCTCGATTTATTTCTTCTTCTTTTTAAATTTTTAGATAGTAAGATCTAAGTATTTAAGTAATTAAATTTTAATTGTTTATTTTAAAAATACATATATAGTTGAGATGCATAAGGTTGCAATCTTAAACAATCAAATTAAGGTCCACCTCCAAACTTTGTCATGAGATGCAATTTTATTATCGAAAATTCTTAGTATAGAGTGAGAATCTGTTTTTATCTTTAGGTATAAAATTTTAAACTCTAAAAGTAGATTTTGTAAAGGGAAAATTGCTAAAAACCCCCTAAAATATACTCTCTAGACACTCTACTCCCAATCCAAACTTTTTTCACTTCTTTTTCTCAAAAACCATCTTTCCTAACTAATACCCCCAACTCAAAAAGTGAGAACTTTTTTGACAAAAATACCCCTACGTTCACCGTACGAACAAATCATTTGGACAGATCCTAATAATACTTTCGTCGGACCGCAATTGATATTTGCCAGACTTACGACATATGACTGATTGCATTTCTACAATACCGGACTGCTTATTTAGACAGTGATACGTCGGACCATAGACTATTAACGCCGGACCACCCTACTCATGTATCTAAAACATCAAACCGAGACCATAAAATGTCGGACTTACGTCTCCAGTAGTAAAATCACCGGAGCGAAGTTCTGTAACGCCGGATTGCGAGTAAGATATTGCTAGGCTACATCGTCCCAGTGTTAGATAGATCGACCATAACGCCGGAGCGAAGCTGTGAAACGGCGAACTTAACATCATTCCAGAAACACATACCGAACTGCACATTGCAAACGCCGGATTGACTCCATTCCAGTAAGTAAATTGCCGGAGCACTACTTCAAATCGTCGGATTGCCTGCATTACCGTAAACATATCGTCTGACAGCGCACATACACTACTGGACAACTGCATCAAAACGCCGAAGTGATTTTATTACAGTACGCAAAACGCCGAACGATGCCCACAAAACGCCGGACGACGCCCACAAAATGCCGAACTGCCTACGCAAACGCTGGATCGGCAGTTAAAAAATATCGGATTGCCTATACAAATGCCGGACTGCCTACGCAAATGCCCTTTCTAATGTAGAAGGTAAAAACAGGGGTAATTTTGTATTTATTTCTATTTTTTTTAGGTTGGGTATTAGTTAGAAAAAATGGTTTTTGAGAAAAAAAAGTGAAAAAAAGTTTAGGATGGGGTAAAATGTTTAGAAAGTATATTTTAGAGGGTTTTCAGTAATTTTTTTTTTATATATACATAATATTTTTGAAAATAGACTATGTACATAATGTATTGCAAAGAGATCTTGAAATCTCTTTTCCCCTCCGTATCAATACATATCAATGTCAACTTTACCGATTAGATGTTTTCCAACATCAAAACGGCATTTTCGAAAGATTTTAGGAATGCATTTGAATTCTACATTTTAAAAGGTCAACCTTATGTAATCTTTTCCATAGATGAATATCCCCAATTTTTAGATGGAGAAAATGCTATCTCAAGTCTTTCACCTAAGGAAGTAAGTGTATAGTATGATCACGCAGGAACACGCCCAATTTCTCAGTTCTGTCATGTTCCCAAACTTATTGGAAAAGTCGCCTTTTGAGACCCACGTGCAATTGTTGTTACTCTGCTGGTACTGAGTGTGTGTGGTTCTAAGGTGGCCAACACACACACACATTCAAATATGGCCTTCTTCAAAAATTTATCTTTTAATTATGTATTTTGGACCTAAAATACCGTATATTGAAAATCTTATGCATTTTTTACCACCACCACCATATAGTCACATCATCATCGTCAAAATCTTTTTTCAATTAGAATTGGCTACACGAATTATGAGCTATTACTATTTTGTATTAAGAGCTATATCTTTAATGAAATTATAAATCTTTATATAATTTTTTACCACTTTTAACCACATCTTTTTAAATTTTACCACCACCACATAAAACTTAAAAAAATAAATCAATATTCTATTTTTGAGTTGCATATTATGTATGTAAATCAAAACTGCATGAAGAATGACTCCTTATGCGTTTCATGAAGAATGACTCATTATGTGTTGAAGGGAACTTATATTGTACTCTATTGGTGTAATTTACAATGTACACCAGGGGTCATCTGCTATTTGTTCCTTATGACAAACGGTTAAGATCAATCACATGATGAATGCTTGTTTTGAAAAACTATGGATCATCTACGCCCTCCGTTGCGAGAAATAGATGATGGAAATTAAGTATAAATCATGATTATAGAGATTCGCACTCGTATGATCGATATATAATATCTTTTGTGCATGGTGCACCATGTCCTTGTGGTGCACCAACCGATTATTTTTTTTTTTTTTTTTTTTTTTTTTTTTTTTTTTTGGGTTTTTAGTGAAGAAGTTTCCTCTCTCTCTTCATAGGAACAAGAGAAAAAGGATTTGGGCATTAGTCATTAGCCTCTAGAAATCAGAAAGAACAAGTGGCCCTCTTTTAATGATATTGCTTTATTAGAAAAGAAATTGGAAAAGGCTGTCGTTCATAAATGCACATCTATATGTACACCAGAAGTCACATGTGGGGTCAAGCCTTTAATGGTTGGCCTGAGCTTTCTGAGCATTTTAGGAAAATAAAGGCAAGTTCGCTTATTCAAATTTCACATAAACATGGAATTAGAAATGGGAGCATCCGTCCCGGTTTTTTCTAGGTAATTCAAGGGGGAAGATTTGCCCCTACCTATATTTTCAGATAGATTAGGAAGTGAGTTTTTTTTTTAAGGTGTCAATGAGTAGTGTCTAACAGAATTGGAAACCAAAACACGGTAATTAAGTATGGGGTGTTACCGCTACGATCCAGCATCGCTATTTCAGTCCTAGATTTATTTAAGACTAGGACCAAAAACACCGCATATTGTTTTTTTATTTTTATTTTTATTTTTTTTTGAGTAAATAAAAAAAATATAAGTCAATGGGGATTTGTATCCGTACCTTTTGGTGAAAATAAAATATGAGACTTCATCATATTGCTTGATAGTATTAACGTCAAAACCCCAGCCCATTATCTATATATTGCTCTAATGTTCTTAAATTTTCAAAGAAAATTAGATCTTTTATGGTTTTGGAGTGCCAAATTTCATGATTAAAGAGCAATAAACTTAATAAGCCAAAAAAATAACAGAAATTTGGGATCCAAAAAATATATCTCCAGATCTTATGAGGGGTGGATTAACTATAATAGGTGCATCGCCAGGTGAACCCTACATACAAGTAAATTGGAATATTTCCCCGAGTTCTTAAAAAAAATTAGGGATAGATAAAAAAAGAAAGAAAGCAGAGCCTCCCCCAACACCCCATGTGGAATAGATGGTGAAGTTAATTGCAATATTTGAAGAGAGAGGAAAACTACACACCACCCATGGTGTATAAAGTATGATACACGAGAGGGGCATCTTGAGGAGAGATGGTGAAGTTGGATGTCAAGAGCTAAAGTCAACTGTACTATTCATCGACCAGATTGGATGGTAGATTCCAATAGCAAATCATGTACCATACAAAACTGTGACTATTGAGAATTGCTGTAGCAGACATTGCTGTGTACCATATAATAGTGGGTGCTCGTGTTTTTTATTTAGGATTTGAATGAAACAACGATCACTTATTGCATTTTTTTTTGAGAGAATTATAAAAATCCCCTTGTTTGGAAAAATTACAAAAACCCCCTTGAAGTAAACAATCTATACAACTTACCCCCAGTTAACATTTTGTACTTTTTTTCCCGACAACCAACTTTCGTTATAAAAAACCCCTCAATCCCAAACAAAAAAAAAAAAAGACTAAACTACCTCCTCTCTCTCCTCATGGCTTTTACCCACGACTCTCTCCCCATGCGCTCCGACAATGAAGACACGCGCTCTGGCAATGCGCTCCGACAATGAGATTTTACCCACGACTCTCTCCCCATACGCTCCGACAATGAAGATACGGGCTCCGGCAATACAAAGACTCGCTCCGACAATGAGACAATGCAACGACTCGCTCCGACAATGAGGACACACGCTCCGACAATGAGGACACACTCTCCGACAATATATCTTCTAGTGCCACATTGCTCCGGTGGTCGAATAGGTCGCTCGGGTAATAAAGACAAGCGCTCCGGCAGTACAAATACGCGCTCCAACAATACACCTTCTGAAGCCACATCGCTCTGACGGTTGACTTGGTCACTTGGACAATACATTACTTAAGACCGTCAATTGACTTTTTTTTTTGTAGGGAAGGGTATTTTCGTTTAAACAATAACAACTTTTTGTTTAAACAATAACAACTTTTTACGATCGGGGTTTTTACAAAAAAATGTCATTATGAGAAAATAGTGAGAAAAAAAGTTGGCTTGGATACCATCATCATCGTCATCCGAGCTTTATCTCAACTATATAAAATGAACCCTCCAAGCCTGAAATTAGACGCTTCAGGCTTATTATTCCTTCATAATAGTCTACCACAGCCCCATCGTTTTTTTTTTCTTTCTTTTCTTTTCACTAAGATGATAAGAGCAGCAACAGTAGACAATCCCATTATTGGCTCCCAAAATTAGAGTGGAGAGATGATGCAGTGGCACCACATTATTTGCCTTCAACATTGGCACGAGAGTGAGAGAGAACAGTCTACTGCAACCACATCACTACGTCAAGATTAACATGAGAGACAGAGAGATGAAAATCTACTACAACCACATCATTTGCTTCAACATAAATAAAACTATGCCATCAGAAGTTGGCAGAAGCAACTCAAATTGGATCTACCCACTCAATATCAGGAGTGGGGGAAAAAAAAGGGGGTAACAACTTAATACATGGCTTAATATATTATGAAACCCACACTATAAGATCATATGAATCAATAAATAGGCTACTCAACAAAAATCATACTTTTGAAGTCATGTCTTCCACCTGCAGCTATCCAGTTGGATTCAATGTCTTATCGTAAGATAAATAGCTCCTCAAATGAAAAAATGAACAAAATTTACAAAGAACTCAAAGACCTGGCGTTGGAGGGTGCGGTGAATAGAGCCATAAACTTGGTCTCCTATTTGAAATGGCTTTTTGATTGAAAGCTCCTCTTTTTTTGGATCATTAAAAGCTGTTCTTGTTAACTCCACTTATTCATTATCTCTTTGCTCCAAGAAGTGGCTCGACGAGGTTCCCATGTGACCTATCCAAACTCGAATCGTCCTCCACCCCCTTCTTCGAAGTACTGTTAGGCTGCTGCGCCCCTTGCCTATTATGGCCTTGGCCTCCCTGAAGAACAATATGTGCACACAATCGATATCTCATCCATATTCCCTCTATTCTCTCTCTCGGGAAGAACACAATGGTATCCTATGAAAACAGAAGCACATACCCCGGCTTTTTGACCAATTAGCCTACGAATTGATGGCGCTCTTGCTACCGATGATGCAGCAGCTGCAGCAGCTACACGGATCCTGAATAACACGTCAACACAATAACTTATGATGCTATCTAAATAAAGCTTCCGTTTCTTTTCTAAATGACTCGTCCTTTTGGAAGAATCTCTCATATTAATATAGAGCACTCGAAATATAATCTACTCTTTTTTTTTTTGTTAAAGCAAATATAGGTATCGCTCCAAAAGAACATGAAAATCGAATCACTTCACAATAAACCATATGCCACTAGGTAGATAATAGTCAACTCATATAGCATAAGCAATATCAGAAAAGCACTACCTGCAGCTTAATACTCTAGGAAATGCCTTTAGGCACTGTACTCCCAAGGCATGTACTACTAAAAAGTTAGAAAAACTGCAATATCGAGTACACTAGGTGTATAAATCAGAGGCATCAGACAAATTACAATGCAATGCTAGTTATACTAAGAAAATCAGGTCATTTTCCCAGTGATACCTTTTGTGTACATCAACATATTCATCTGTCTCATCTACAATCTCTTCCTGCAAAAGCATATGTCAGCTGGTAAACAAGTATAAAATGCACAAAGAAGAAAACTTGTACACATGAAAGCGCCAGACTCAACTTTGGATTTAATAGCTATATATAACATATACCTGTAGGAGTTCTTCAAAAACATCCTCAAGCGTTATGATACCAACAACTTCCCCATCTTCAATGTCCTCAGCCATTCGGTTGTCCCCAAAGATTGGTCCATCATTCGGTTGAATAAAGGATGGCTTACTTGAGCGGACCTGACCATTTGGCCCCTTCTCCATATCAATAACAATGACATCATCCTGTTTAGGCAGCAACGGAGAAGTCAAGTCAGAACCCCCCAAACCAACTCTGCTTTCTTCTGGTTTTTCTCCATCACCAACAGTTGTAGAGCTTTTGGTCTTCCCTTTGGTCTTCACCACAGCTGCCATGTGACTGCTTCCTTTCTGAAATTCATTCAATATGTCATATAGAGGCATATCGGCTGGAACCCTGTTTCAGATCAGATATTCAGTAAGGATTTGAGAAGAATGAACAAGGCAATGTTACAGAAAAAGTGCTCGTATGAGTCAAGATCTTTCTGGGGAGTGCACTGAGTGGGCGTGGGGGGTGAGGGTGGGGGTGTGTGTGGGGCAGTGTTGTGGGGGTGTGGTTTGGGTGAAGGAATGGATGGGTGAGTAGGGTCAGGAATGGAATCCTACGTGTATGTTTCTATTTAAAGAAGAACAAATGGTGTACAATCAACTTACCCTAAAAAAGACAATTTGATACATCAAAATCATATCAGTTAATCTTAATCTCCAAACTAGAAATGGAGTTAAATTGCATTTACAGGTAACCGACCAGGAAGTTATAAGATTGAACTCTATTTGGATTATGTTATACCTTCTCATTTGTATTCAGAAAAAGCAGCCAGCTGGATTGGAACCAGCCATTCAGAGTAAACTAGCACCAACTGGATTAGAACCAGCCATTCAGAGTAAACCAGCTGGTAGGACTGGTTCTCTAACTTTAGTTGACAATGTATATATATATATATATATATAAAAAGCAATAATAATGAAATTATGCAAAAAGACAAGTATAATAAGAGAACCTTGGAATTCTCCTAATAGAAACAGCACTGACAGGAGTTTCCGTTTCAGCACGAACTGTTAGTAGACTTTTCACCTGAAACCACAAAGCGAAGCTGAGAATTAAAATAACTAAATATATAAGAATGGAATGTGGACCTTACGTCAAGAAAATATACGACCATAAAATGGCAATTACTATCATATGGAAAGAAGATACAAGTATATCCTACCAGGAGAAGCCCAATGATATTTTTTGGATTTCCAGAATACACAGGAACTCTGCTGTGACCACGAGCAAGTATTTTTCCCATCGCTTCCCTGAAAATCATAAAAAATATAAGACTTTTTCTAAATTTAGAGCCACAGTAATGGGAGTTTTGGTCTAGGGTATAGACCACTCAGTTAATTAACCAGTTTAGTCCTTTTTAGTCTGACATTTCTGAACAGCCAAACTGAATTCTTGGATCTGAATTTTCATGGACCAAAGAAGCCAGAACTGCATGGATCAGCCAGTTCCTCCAGTACAGCTTTTACCAAATGGTGCAAGCTGATTTACTTTTAGCCTAACCAATTCATTTTAACTCCAATAATTTTTTTCTGCTTTGTAATTCTCATAAGTAATCAAACCAGGGATGGCGGATTTAACAAAAATTGGCAGACTTAAAGCTATGGCCCCACTGACTTGGGTTTCCAGTTCAACCTGAAAGTGGCTGCTCAATCAGGATTTGATCTTAAGTTATGTGACAAAAAGAAAGAAACCATACTGATGTTCTGTTTGATCACTGTTTTGTTTTGAAAGAAATGCTTCCATTGAATTTCAGTGAAAAAGATACATAGAAATTTAAGTCAAATAATGGATGAACAAGAGTACAACACAACAAAGCAACATATTAGAATACAGATATCAACCTACCAGTCCAGCTTCGAGTTGACATCTAATGAAAAAGTGGACTCAATGGGTGTCATTGCCTCTTCAGCAGTCTGCATTTAACAATAGAACAGTTCGTAAGACATTGTAATGCTTCTTCCTCTAATTCTTCTTCCTCATAAAAAAACAACTGAATAGCCGACAATATAATAGGGAATTTCTTAAACTAGTAGAGTCAATATGAAGTTTATTTTAAATTGGCTACAGTCCCTATGATTGTCGAAACTCCAAGTTGTTGTATATAACAGTTTTCTCTTTCACTAAGAATCCTAATGCAGGTTTACTATTTAGTACTTAATAGATGCTTTTCATCTATGCAAAAATTAAATAGTACATGAATTCCAACACATTATATAATAATATGAGGGTCTTCAAGACATAAACACAGGGGTTATGAAGGCAACTAAGCAAGACATAAAAGATTCACAAAAATTATTACATACAGTCCCTTCCTTTTGCAACATATGTGGCTCGAGGAGAAGAGCATGCCTGCCCTAGTGGAGAACTGGTGGTCCTCAATCCTGGAGGAAGGGGTGGCATGGATATAGGCCAAGTAAAAAATTGCAGGTACTCAAAGAAAAGGATTAAATGAAGGACACGTTTGGGAAGATCCAGACAAAATGTCGAATGTCACTGCCCAAGTTCAAGAGCCTGGACATAGCAGAGCGACAAATCCCTTACCTTAAAGGAGGATAGCAAAAAGGTCAAACAGAAGGCTGCTCTCCAGGATTTTGCCTCGAACTACAGGTAAAATTGGTGCCAAAGGTCTAGAGTCAAGTAGTTGAAAGAAGGTGATCATAATACGAAATTGTCACATGGTCGACGATATGATCCAACAATATTCATGGGATCAAATCCACGTGGCAGGACCAAAGCATTGAATCAATCAAAAAGGCCATCATTCAGCACTTCAAGAAGGCCTTCCAAGTAGAGGCAAGGCTAGCAATTACGATAGACATTTTTCCCTTTGCCAACCATCCCAGGACAACTCGCGATGGTGCAAAAGCCCTTTGACATTGAAGGGATAAAAGAAGCAGTGTTCGGACAGGGAAAGGAAAAAGCTCCAGACCCAGATGGTTTCCACTTTGCATACTTCCAGCTTTTTTTGGCACATGTTGAAGGATGGACTCCTTATGTTACAAGAAGTCTACCATGTGGGCAGAATCAATAAAGCTATACATACCTCCTTCATAGCTCTGGTCCCCAAAAAATAAGGAATGGAGTCCCTCGAATGGAGTCCTTTGACGACATCCGTCCGATTAGTCTCCTGGGAAGCCTGTACAAGTCCTAGCCAAGGTTTTGGCCATAAGGCTTAGTTCAGTTAGGCGACGCTGCGACATGGTGCCACTGCCCCAATCTCCTTATGTCAATGTCTGGCAGGTCTTGGATGTCGTCCTTTTCACCCACGAATGCATACACTCGAGGGACAAAAATAACACTCCTGCAATTATACATAAATTAAATATAGGCAAGGCCCAAAATAGGTGGCGCTGGTCCGTCATACCTACAGAAAAGAATGGAGATTATGGGCTTTGGCCATAGAGGAGACTTCCATGGTTGTCTCTCATTGACCCACTTTTCCTTCCTCGCCAACAGTTGTGCTAAAGGATTCTTCCAGGCAACTAGAGGTGTCAAGAATGGGACCCACTGTCCGCTTCCTCTTCTCCATTGTTGTGGAATCATTTACCAAAATGATTGAAGCGGTCAATGCCAAAGGTTGGTTGTCAAGGCAACAATGCAGGATCCTATGATTCAAGGTTTTCCTGATGATTCACTGATGATTCAAGGTTTTCCTGCCCCTAAGAAGAGGTGAAGTGAAACACCTGACCAGGGTTCGTGGGTTGCAAGGTGAATAGCGTGCCCATGCAATTCCTAGGTCTCCCTGAAACATTGGCAGGCCAGCAACGTCTTTATGGGCAGTGGAGGACAAGTTTTAAAGAAACTAGAGCATTTGATGGCGAAGATCCTTTCTATGGGAGGCAGAAGCACTCATCAAATCGACACTGGCTAATTTCCCAGTCTTCAATCTTCAAAGTCCCAGTCTCCGTAGCAAATTGCCTTGACGGCCTTATGAACAGGTTCAAAACAGATTCCATTTGGTAAGGTAGGATAAAGTGTGCTTACTGAAAGGAGTTGGTAGTTTGGCAATCAGTAAATGACAACAAATGAACAAAGAATTACTCACCTAATGGTGGTAGAGATGTGCTACCTAGAGAGGGAGGTGCTTCTAAAGAAATATGAAGCATATTGGGCTGGCTGGCTCCTAAAAAAGTAAGAGGCCAAGTAAGGTATCTGGTAAGTGCAGGAGCATTGATCCCTGCAGCTCGTCTTTTACAAGATACAACAGCATGCTCACGGGGGATGGTAAGTCCAATTGGTTCTGGACAGATAAATGGTTCGGTAACCACCTGTACATGTCAAATTTTGACGCCACTGTCGTAGACTTGGTATCAGGCGAGGGCTCACTCATAAAATGGTTGATTAAGCTAAAACTCAGAGACTCAGATATTGATGCCTCTACCATTTCGCAACACAAGCTCCACCAGATCTAGTACAGCCCCAAAAAAATGGACACTGCCATCTCAGAACCCAATCCTCAGGCAAGCACTCCGTCAAATTTATCTATAGACTGATCTTTGGCAATAGGGTGGACAACACCATCGTCTCTTCGATTTCGTCAATTCTAGCCCAACACAATTCTCAAGCATTTGCATGGCTACTACTCATCATCATCATCCAAGTCTTATCCCAAATGTTCCGCGATTTTGCTCTATCAAGGGATTTATATAGCCACTGGTCTTGAACAAAATGCACACCACAACCAATTCAGAGACAGAAAGAAGGTTACCAATGCCCCATGTATGCCTCTGCTGCAAGCGAATAGAGGAAATGGTACATCACCTTTTTTTTCTCTGATCCCCATTTACTTTAGATATTTGGTCATGTGTGTTCGATTGTTTGGCTTCCACTTCCAGTGGGTAGTTGCGGAATCAGTTGATTGCCCCTTAACCAAATCATGTGCCCCACCACTCCCAAAACTCGACGTGCTCCTGAGGATAACAATGACAGCCATCATCTGGCATCTTTGATTGGAGCAGAACAGCAGAGCCTTATGAGATCTTCATTCAGAATTGCGCTCCCTCAAGGGCAAACTAACAGTGAAAGCCATCTTGTGGGTGAGAACGTGCAAGGAGCTTTGTGGTTTCAGTACTACGGACTTTCGATCCCACTTTCAAGACACATCCAAAACTAACTTTAGTTCCCAGGAGAAACAGACTGACCAAATGGACTTCCCCCCCAGATGGCACATTCAAACAGAACTTTGATAGAAGCTCAATGGGCAATCTGGGTCTGGCAGAGGTGGTGAGAGGTCTAGTAAGAGTCTACAATGGAAGATGCATCCTCACGTATTCAGGCCCACTTCCTGACAGCAGTGTCAGTGAAGCAGAGGCTTGCACAAAGGTTCAAGGTCTTTACATATTTACTGTTTTGCCAACAATTCTGATGGTGGAAAGGAATTCAAGTAATGCAGCACAGTAGGCTACAGGCCCTGGAGACTACCTATGGCAATCTCATTCAGGTGTTCAATAAAATTCGGTTACAGGACCAAGTTTGGTGAATATCATTCACCTACTCCAGCAAATAAACCAATGTGGAAGCCAACTCACTTGCCAAAGGAGAATCAAAGTCCTCTCCATCTGTACAAGATTTTGAATTTTGTAGTGTCTAATGTACAAATGCTCATGTTTTTGTCAAGAACAATATACACACTTGCAAGGTCAATAAAAGGAAAAGTTAATGATTTAAAGGAAAAAAAAATTATTGCATATAATGCACATGTAAAGAACAACATGGCCTGATTTATCAGCTTTTGGCTTTATCAACCTTCTTCCCTTTTTGTTGTTTTTTTTTTTTGGAGGGGGGGGGTGGTTGGTGTTAAATGAGACTTTATCAACTTTAAGCTCTTCTAAAACATAAAACCCATGGCTGATTAAAATTTAATGAGCCTGAAAAGTTGCAGACAACAAATATGAACAGAAGTACGAAAAGTTTGAGTTATCGATGTTTCATTACGATTCTTACCTTTTCAGTTAAATCAAGTGCCCCACTAATAATTGTTGTCTCGTCATGAGTGAGTTCTCCTCCTTTGCCAGCCTAAAAGTCAGGAAGATTCCAATTATGAGGAATCATGATTGCATTTCAAGCATCCATCATGACATATGTATCATGCCCTTGACAGTTATCATCAGAATGGTAGTGAAGTAAACCTACCTCTTGACTGTGGATAGATACAAGGGCTTTTAGTTGAGCCCGTCTGAACAATGCTGAATCATTATGTCCAAGCACCCAATCTAGAATCTAAAAAATCAACAAGAATTATCATATTAGTTAAGTATTTCATTCAGAACAAAACAATAATTTAAATTAAGGTGACAAACGGAATGCCCCACCTAAAACCCTATGCTGACAAAATGGAGATGATAGGCTAAATGACTGACTATTATCCATTCAATTTTTTTAGGAAACACATTATCCACTGAAGTTCATCGATGGGATAAAGATTGTTTCATAAACCCTAATCTAACAGTTTGTTTGTCGCCAACCAACAGAGCCAATAGGAAACATGAACTTAAAATACATAAGCACGACCATCTTCTTCACTCTAGACAGGGTAAGCTTAACATTGCATTAAGCTTGAGTGTGAGTACATTACAATTCAATTAAAAGAGTAGAGAAATCACCTTCCCAATGGGATAAGAAATGGGATAACAGATTATCATTAAAATACGCACAAGCCATACAAAATTCGCACCCACAGCAAGCCCATATCTTGAACATATAGCTTGAGGAATAACCTGAGAAAGGAAACAGAAAAACACAAATCAAATTTTCAGAACCTATGCTTTACAATATGAAAGGGCATCATAAACAACCGAATGCATTATAGTGATGGAAAAAATTAATTTTATTTTTTTATATGTCATTTCTTTCTCTTTTTACAAGTATGCTTATCAAAAGAATAAAGAATTGACCTCTCCAAAGAATAGAACGAAGGTAACGGACAATATGACTGCCACAAACGGATGAAAAATTTTATCCAGATAAATTGGAAGGGCCTGCAAATAGCAAATAATCACCAAACTGCAATTAGTAAATTCCATTGATGTAAGTTGTAATGGTTTAAGTAATATCAAAACTCAGATGAAAGTACCATCTAACCAAAACCTCATTGTGCATTATATGCTCAAGACCACAATAGAAATAAACATCAAATGCCATAACGTCAGTTGCATCGCTTGTTAGAATTCTCGGAAGCCAATCATTTACACCGTTCTGGACCAAATTCCCAATGCCGTGTTGCCCAAGATTAAGACATAGAAAAAGGGCACAAACAACAGAACTCCATTATAGAGTCACAGTTTCCCATGTGCCTCTATTTTATGTCTCCATTTGCATCTCTATTAGAAAAATCCTTACCTCCATGGCAGCTGCATTACACAAAAGTAAAGTCACGAGAAGTTGGTGTTGCTTTTGCACAACTGGAAGGATGTCAGCTGCAAAAAAACAATGCAACAACAACATAAGCAACAAGAACACGTCAAAAGGAGGAGATATTCAAGTCCTGAAAACATCCCAAGCAACACTAAGTCACAACATAAGACCAAAGTCTTATAGGTTACATTTAGTTGTTCAGAAATTAGAAACAAGTCCTGAAAATATTCCAAACAACACTAAATCACAACATTAAGACCAGTGTCTTGTAGATTACATTTAGTACTTTAGAAATTGGAAACATTTCCATTTCCATGACTCTGATATATTATGTTTGATAAATTACTAAAATGTAGCACATGGAGGCGGACTTATGCTTCTTGGTGTGAGTCCTTGTTAGCAAAGGTGTTGAATCCTAGACCTCTTCTTCTTGATTTATTCCTTGTTGGTTTCGAGTAAATAATTAGAGAAAGTTCGGTGACTCGTATGGGTAATTTAAATGTATCCTAGAAGAAATATCTTATGCAGGCAATATCAATTGAAAAGATGATAGGGAACCCACTCCATATTCCAGATTTCATGGCTACAAGTCTACAACAATGAGTAGCAATCTGTTCAACAAAGGAACAAGCTTTTCTATACTCACGCCTATGCCTATAATCTTTAATCCCCAATCAATATACCAAATTTCATCGATCCTGCTTCAATCTCAGATGCCCCACGAAACCATGATTGCAGGAGAACCTGAATGTGGAATCCATATCTTAAAAAATGCGTTTGAAGAACAAGACATATCTTACTTGTCGATTTCATGGGTGACATAGTTCAACCATGTTTTCCTCTATTTCTCATGCTTCTCCCACCCCTTTCAACATTTTATCATACTTTTGTCAACACAGTAACGTGTGTTTCCCTAATTTTCTCCATGCCTTGATTTTGCAGCACTAGGTTATCATTAGTTATGAACAACCATGCTGCTTTTTATATTTTACAGCCCTCTAATTGCCTCATCTTTCCTTTTCCCTGAATCACTTTGATTCCAACTAGCCTTTTCTTCCTGTTTCCCGAATCATTCCCAGAACCACTTTGTTTGAATGCAAAATCCATGATACAGATCAATACAATTAATTTCTGTAACAATTCAAGGGAAGATTTATGACACAAACAAGGAAAGCCCAACATTTTCTTCTCTATATTCACCACAACAATTGCTTACATAATTCTCTTAATTATTGTAAAAAATAAAAGGGGAAAAGAACAATGGGAATTGATCTCTCATCAGATCAGAATTCAAGACAAGAAGAGCTGGAATTTTGTAGAAATCCTATCAAATCCATTACCAATAGGCAGAAGCTCGACAAAAAAATCACCTGCCTGGATCCATAAACAAGCTAAATTTCAATAGACAAAGAAAACCCAACCAAAACAATGAATTTTAATCCATTGACCGATCAAAACCCAATAAAGTGAAAACCCAACAAACAAATCAATAAAATTGAGCTTGGAACCTCATACCATTAACAGATTAAAGCTTACAAAAACAAAGATAAAAAGAGCCCAACAATGAAAACCATGGAATAGGGTCCAGAAATTCACAAACCAGCCTGTTTCTTCTCTGCAGATGTTCCACTCCTCTGAAGAATTTCAAGCTCAACAAGGCCAAGAGACATAAGACCTAGGGTTAAACCAGACATGATTCCGGCGAAGAGAACAAGGAAACCTGAGATCCCTGCGTAACTAAACCACCAAAACGATCCAAAACTCACATCTTCTGAAGCTAGAGGGGAAGATAAGCATCTGCTCACCATTGTCCCCAAACCCACTGCGCTCAAAACCCACATCTCCCCCTGTCTCTCTCTCTAAAAATTCTGTAGAAATTAATGTTTCTCACTCCAACGAGGAACCCGTGGAATCGATTGGTGTCGTTCCAGGATTGCAGGGCTCTGGTTTTATATGTCCTCTGTAAGATTATCGTTGGTCACCATAGAAAGAATATTCTGCTGAAGAGAGAGAAACTTTTTTAAAGGGCAAAGTTTATTTGGTGCCTACGCTCTAAACCATCAAACTTGCCTCAAAAATTTTATTAGAAAAAGTTGTTTTGATGCCCAATTATACTCAAATTAATAATCTCCACATCCAAATTTAAAATCTCGATTTATGGGCTTCAAAAAAAAAAATAGATTTCAAGTTTTGAAAATAATACATCTTGTAATATATTTTGTTTTTTTTTTTTGACAAATATTTGAAAGTTTTATCAATGACTAAATAAAAGAGTTTACATCAGAAGAAATCGAGAGAGAAAGCAACCAAGCACCTCCCTTGGCCAAAGAATCAGCAATGGAATTTGCTTCCCAGTACACATGAATGAAAGAAACAAAAATAGATTCAACCAGATCCATAATTTGCAACCACAATGACCGAAGCTCCCACGTAACCTTCTATTCGTTATTGTACCACTTAATCACATTCAAAGAATCCCCCTCAATCCACATATTAGTTATTATATTTTTATCAATCATAGTTTTCACTCCACACAAAAGAGCCCTCAATTCAGCAAAATTAGCTGTTTTTATCCCACTCGGACTAGCAAAAGAGAAGACAATAGAACCCGAGGGATCGTGCGCAACACTACCAATTCCAGCAACTGCAGGTGCCACCCAAAAACACTTTGGTCTAATATGTGTATTCCCAATGAGAAAGAGATTGTTAAGATTTGTCATGACATCAACTATTGAAATCCCACATCCTTCTTTAGTCACAGACAACCACAACCAAATAGAATGCTTAATTTTGGTTAAAATCTTCTCAAAGGATAAAGAGTTCCCATCAAAGGTTCTTCTATTCCTCTCCTTCCATATGTCCTACAGGATCACCCCTTTAGATATCGTCCATATAACCTTACCAATAGCTGGCAAATGGCCAACAAATAGCTGAGAAACAATCCCTTCCGCCGTTTGAGGGAGTACCAGATGTACCCCAAGAGTGGAAAACAGTCAATACCAAACACGTGCTATAAAAGGACAATGAATCAACGTATGTGTCCTTGATTCCCCATCTTCTTTACATAACAAATATACATTGAGCAAAATTTTCCCCCTTTTAATCAAATTATCGATGGTTAAACTCCTGTTTAAAAAAGCAAGCCAAATAAAACATTGTACCTTATGGGGTATCGACCATTTCCAAATAGACGCCACTATGGAATAAGACCATCTTAGCATATCATGGAACAGTAAGTTATGACAGGACTTAACTGAAAACATCCTATCACTCGCAATCTCCCAAATAATTTCATCCTTTGCATCACCAGCAACATAAATAGTTTCCAAAATTTCTATTAAAGCACAACATTGGGAAAGAAAGTGGTTACTTAGATGGCCATAAGAGAGGGAGATATTCCAAGAATATTGCGTACCTCTCCTCTCTATAGCATCACGAATAGTCAAGTTAGGCTGGGTTGCCAATCCAAAAAGATCAGGAAAAGCAACTTTCAAAGGAAATTCCCCTACCCATTTATGATGCCATAAAAATACTTGACTGCCACACCTAATGTTCCACCTTGAATACCCTGAAACAATCGGCTTGCATCTATATATAGCCTTCCACACCTGTGAGACCTCTCTTCCATGCCCATTACCCAACCACATTTGGAATATATCAATCCCATACTCAGCCAAGAGAACTTTGAACCAAAGATGATTTTTTAGCTTTAAATTTCTCCACCACCACTTGTATAAAAGTGCTTGATTAAAAACATTTCCTCTTTAATTCCAAACCACCTTCTTTCTTAGACGTACACACCCTATCCCATCTAAGCAAGTGAAACGTCCTCCCATCTGAATTAGAGCCCCAAAGAAAATCCCGTATCATTTTTTCTAATTTTCGAGCAACCGAAGCAGACATATTAATCAGAGACATTTGGTAAACTGTGAGATTTAATAAACACGATTTTAACAAAGTAACCATTCCACCAAAAGAGAGATACTTATACTTCCACAAATCCAATTTAATTTGAACTCTTTCAAGCACTATATCCCAAACTGTAATCGATAGCCTTGAATCAGAGATGTGAAGACCCAAATAAGTAATAGGAAAGGATCCAACCTTACAGCCCATAATAGATGCGAACTCCTCTATCACCCCTCCATCACAGCTAATCCCAACCATGGAAGATTTATGAAAATTTACTTTCAAGCCCAAAGTGGCTTCACAAATATCCAAAAACCTTGCAATATTTGAAACTTATAATGACTCTGCCTCACAGAAAATAAGGGTATCATCAGTATATTGAAGATTGAGATATTTGAATATCATAATTAGCAACCTGAAATCTATTAAAATTCATTCTCCAACCTATTTAGCAATAAACTAAAACATTCAGCATAGATTGTATAGAGGAAAGGAGACAAAGGTTCCCCTTGTCGTAACCCTCTAGAGGCATTATAGAAACCCACTAGACTGCCTTTAAATAAGACTGAGAAATGTGCTGAGGAGAGGCACCCAAAAATCCAAGATCTTCATCTCTCACCAAAACCAATACCTCACAAAATTTCTAAAAAGGCCCCTCAGTCAACCCGATCATATGCCTTTTCTACATCCAACTAAAAGAGGATACCCGGCTTCTTACTAATAACTCTAAAGTGAATGCATTCTTGAGCCAACAAAACACTGTCTGTAATTTAATGATCCTGAATGAAGCAGATTGAGTACTAGAAATGAGAAAATACAAAACTACCTATAGTCTCTCTGCCAACACCTTAGCAATAATCTTCTACAGGCTAATCAACTAGTTTATTGGCCTTATATCTGAGAGATTAGAAATCATCACTCTCTTACGAATCAAAGCTAAAAAAGTAGAATTTACACTTGATCATAAAGCTTTTGACAAATTCTAAGACTTCCCCTTTAACCACCGACCAAAATTTAGGAAAGAATGCCAAAGGAAAACCATTAGGTCTCGGTGTTGTCACCAGGTAAGGCAAAAACCGCTTTCTGTAATTCCTCACTTGTAACCTCCCTTTTTAGTTAATTTATCAATTGTAAAGAGAGCATTTTGAAGGGAACTCTATTCAAAGATGGGGTAAAATTAACTTCTTTAGTAAAAGCTTTTTTAAAATGGTTCACCAAAGCATTTTCAATTGCACTTTCATTTTCTGAATTAACACCAGGAATTGATAAATCAAAAACATCATTTTGCCTCTTTCTAGAACTAGCAATTGCATGAAAATACTTGGTGTTGAGATCCTCTTCTTTAAGCCATTTTGTTTTAGATCATTGCCTCCAATAAATCTCCTCAGATTTGCGTAGCTTTTCCAACTTCAAGCTCTTCAAATTATGCTCCAAAACTATTTGTTTAGAAATCACCCCTGAGGTATGTCTATCGTTTCCAATTCTAGCAAAACTCCATCTATTCTTGCCTTAACATCAAATTTATTTTCTTGTTTCCACCTAATAAGTTTCCACTTGATATTTAGTAACTTACCATGCAGCTGGAAATCTATGGAGCCTTCCACCACTATATTCAGCCAAGCACTAGTAAGTCAACCACCTGCTTTTCTTGTAGCCAACTCAAGTCCAGTCTAAAAGCTTTAGGACCTCCTTTTAAGATCCCCGAATTAAGAAGGATGGGACAATGATCTGAGGACAATCTCGACAGTGCCCTCACCAAAGACAATGGGTACTCGTCCAACCATTCCATCGAGAACAGAAACCTATCTAATTCCAACATTGCCAAGTTAGACATACTATTATTGGACCAGGTGAACCTGGCCCCTATAATAGGGGGATTCATAAAAGAATGGTTATCTATAAACCTATTAAAACATATCATAGAAGAATTAATAGGATTACCCAACAAGCTCTCATCAGGTCAACAAATCAAATTGAAATCCCCACCATCCACAACCGAAAATTCAAAAGAATGAATAACATAACTTAACTCCAAAAGAAAACTTTCTTTCAAAGCCCACTAAAGGATCCATACACATTGACAATGCCCCATTGAAACCCAACTTTAGGACCACAAAAAGCCAAAAGCAAAAAGAAATCACGTTTAAATATAGCAAAATTATGGATAACTGTTGGATCCCATAAGACCCACAAATCACCAGATGTTCCACATGCTTCAATACCATCAAAAGCAACAACACTCGAGCCCCAAATCTCCATAGCCCCTGCAACATCAGGACTAGGGAGTTTTGTCTCATGGAGAATCAGAATCACTGGTTTAAACTTTGTAACAAGAAAATAAACATTTATTTTCCTAAACTGACTACCCAATCCCCTTAAAGAAGAATATGTTCCATCAAGACCAAAATCAGGGGTGCAGCTCGTCCACCATGAAATCAACAGCATGTTCGTCGTCACTGGAAGAAGAACGTGATTTAGTGTCCACATTGACCACTGAGTGATCACGGAAGACAATCGCTCTCGATGGGCCCTTCTTAATAACACATTTAGCTTGGAGTCTGGCTGATAAACGAGTATCACGAACAATTTTTTTTTCCTCCAACTTCTTCTTTTTGTTTTTCACCGGCATCATGAGAGGACCTTTCAAATGACCATCATCAGTTGAAACCACTAAACCCCTGGCTCGTCGCCTCTCCTTAATCCCATCCAACACAACTGCAAGTGACACATCATCCATACCCATGTCGAAGAGCATCTTCTCAACCAGCTGTGTATCATCCAAAGACTTATGAACCCCAAACGAAGGCTGACCAGGACCATCCTCCAAAAGAAGATGGGAAAGGACCTGATCATCATGGGGCACCACCTCTAAAGGAGTGGCTTCCGCTAATTCCAAGGCCACCAATATACCATCTGCTACTTCATCATCAAAGCTTGGCTCAAGCGCCAAAAGAGGAGGAGAAGGCTTCGGCATGGAATCCTCTTCAACAACAACTATGGCCAAGGGATCTACATGCAAAGGATCAAAGCGGGATCGAGGCTTCTTCCCCACACCCTTAGCAACAGCCAACCTAAAAACCAATGGATGCATCTTCGGTTTAAAAAGGATACCGAGGAATAAAGCACCGACTTTCTGTTGCACACACCTCTCCAAGATTTTCCGATGAACCAACAGCACCACAAGCCGCACAACACCACAAGGATTTGCAATAATTGATGAAGAAGTTCAAATTCCTTCCAAAGATGCACCAGAGGCTGAGGCTGAGGTTGAGGCCAAGGCGTTTTTGGCTATTGAGGCTTTAACATCTTGGGACGAAGAGTTCTCCCTTACAAGGTAGAAGAAATCAAAGATATCAGTCCCATCAACTTCAAGACTTCCTCCCGCCACCCCATCTAAAGTTTTGAAAGCAAATCCAAAAGGGATTAAATTTTCATAGATCGGCTCGATCTACACTATTTTTTAAGCTTTAAATTTTATTATTAAAGATAAAATATATTTTAAGGCTAATCCAAGAGTTGAAGTAGTCAAACCACATTTCTCAATGCCAGTTGAAGGCAGGCTCTAATTTGATTGTTTACAGCCTCAAACCGCATCTTTAAAAAATGTCATCCATGACCAGGTAGTTACCAAAATTTTATTTTATTTTTTGGATCTGATGTAAATAAAAATTAAAGTTATCAAAATTTTATTTTAATGAATTAATTTTTATTTTAGGAATAAAAAGTGGGTTGGGATAAGTTAGGTGGGAAGATTTTTAGTGCTTGAGTTGTTTTGATGATAGGGTAGCAAGTCGCTTGGTTAGTTTTAAAAAGATAAATATTGAGTTTTTATGTGGCTTTTAAGGAATAGAAACTAAAATTTAAAAAGAGATATAGAGCTTCAAAGAGATTTAACTCGGGAGATAAGGAAGAGATTTGGATGCTCCAGAGAAAATAAGAATATAGAGATGTACGTGAGTTTTAGAGAGAGTTTATTTTTGTGGTTTGTTTTTATTATTTTATTTTTATTAATTCTTTGTTTTGTATTTGTAAGAGAAGATATCCATTGTAAACAGAACCCGAGAATTATATTTGATTAAAAAGTTTGATCATGTTAAAAGATATTGAAGTGGACTCGGATATAATCACTCAATTATGCATTTTCGTTTTTATTTTCTAATTTGTTATTCTTTTCTCTACATCTAAAAAAGCATGTCGGATTGGCAGATTGGAGATTTAGATTGTAGAATCGGCCGGATCGAATGGTTTTGGCCTCAAAAAATAATTAATAATTTTGAGTTTTCAAAAAAGAAAAAAAAATCAAGCATTATGTACTTTCATTATTTTACAAAAATTGTACTTTCATTATTTTACAAAAATTGGGAGTGGTGGGTTCTGTGTTATTTGTGGTATTTCCTTTTCAACCAAAATGACAGACCCCATTGTCTCCCTCTCAACCTTTTCAACCAAGATTAAAAACAATGATTTCCTTTTCAACTTAAATGACAGATACTTATTCTCACTCAACTGAAATGGCAGAAACCATCTCTCTCTCCTCCTCGAGTTCAGGTGTCCATTTAACGGTTCTTACAAAAGTGTACTAATCCTTGAAACCAAAATGCCAATCGAACCATTACCCACCCTAATATTGTGCTTTGCCCAATTTAGTGGCCTTCCTCACCTAAATTGGGATCCAATTTATCAAATATTATTAATTCTCTTTGTTCATAAAAAATTATTACAATCCAATCAACTATAACATTATACTCTGAAATTAGAATTATTAGTGTATATTTTACGATTATCTTACATACAAATATGAAAAAATTTAAACTTTGCATGATAATATCATTTAATTTGCACAAAATGTTAGTTACAACTATAACAAAAATAATACACTATGAAATTTATAATATAAATAAATTAATAAATAAAATACAATATTTACTTATTAATATATAATATAAAATAATATAATTTTATAATATTGCATCAAACATATAACAAAAACTATTAAAAACTCTACCAAATTATAATATAAAAATGATGCTATGACACTTTAAAAATATATCTACTTATTAATATATAATATAATATAATATAATATTATAATATTTTTAAAAATATCTACTTATTAATATATAATATAATATAATATTATAATCTTTTTAAAAATATCTACTTATTAATATATAATATAATGTAATACTATAATATTTTTAAAAATATCTACTTATTAATATATAATATAATATAATATTATAATATTGCATCAAACATATAACAAAAATGATTAAAACACTACCAAATTATAATATAAAAACGATGCTATGACACTTTAAAAAATATTAACAAAAACTATTAAAAACACTGCCAAATTATAATATAAAAACGATGCTATGACACTTTAAAAAAATATCTTCAAACAAAAGGTTTTTCTCTAAAAAAACTAATAATGACATAAAATTAAAAAAAATAAAAAAAATTAATCACACACCATATAAATCAATAATCTAAATGCATCAAAAGCCCTAGTTTTTTCAGAAAATTATTAATTTTTTTTAAAATAGAGTACTCAATATCCCCAAAAACTAGTACGTATTTTGGCCCAAAATCCATACTATTTTCTATTTCTAAACATTGTATTGAATCTGTAACACAGAAGACATATTCAATATGATCATTTTGATTCAAGTTTCAATAAATATGGTACAAATTTGAGGATGAACAATTTGAAATGGTGGAAATCCTAATTTGTGCTACCTTCATGCAAAGCAAAAAAAAAAATTGTAGAAAAACATACAAAATGGAAATAAAATACACTTGATCTATATCAAAGGTGCAGTTTGTATAGAGCCTACCTTTAAATAGCATAGAGAAATATGGTTTTAATATTGAAAATCATTGTGATAGCCTTAAAATTTATTTTCAACTTTATTTATAAAGTTTAAAACTTCAAAAATAGTGTAGATCCGTAGATATATGAAAACATGAAAATTGACGGTCCAAAAATGCGTTACAAAATACAGTATTTCCAAAACTTGAAATCCATTTTTTTCACATGCCCATGCATCTTGATGTTGAGATGATCAATTTGAGGATATTTGAGCATCAAAACAATCTCTTCTAATGAAATTTTTGAGGTAGGCTCTAATTTGATTGTTTAGAACCTCGGCTCTATAAACTTTTCCCCTATATCAAAGCCTTAAAGCTCTGTAAATAAAAAAAACTCCATTGAAATTTGATCCACATCAACCGAAATACTCATTGATTTCTTTGATTTTTGGTGACTGTTAAAAGTTCAATTTTTTTTTCGATTTCTTGGATTTGGAAGCAAAATCGATGGGCAATACAAGTTTAATCGAACAAATTAGCAATAGAATATTTTGTAGGTTTTAATTATCTCCAAATAAAACAAATTTCAGGACATATAATAACAAATCGATAGAATGACGTATTTCTACAGAAGCTTAAAAAAACACATGATTTTGATGGCCAAATCAAATGTTTTTCAAAATCAATGGAATAATAGTTATATAAGCAATTTGCAATCATTTTAGAGCAATAATTCTCTGAAAAAAGGCCCAAGATGGATCAAAAAGTTCTAAATGTGAGTCTAAAGTCTTGAAAGCTTGTGACTTGGTGCCTCAAATATTGGAATCGATGGTTCCACTGCAGCAAATCGTTGATTCTATACAGTGGAATCGACCGTTTAGGTAGGGAGGCAGGGAGGGGAGGATTCCAATATATTGAAAGATCTGGATCATCGTCGATGATTTTTTATCTGGATTTGGCGATTGCAATCTAGATCTCCGAATTTTCAAACCTTGGAAACTATAATTATATGAAGAGAGAAACTATTATTATTGCATGGAGAGAGAAAGAGAGAGAGATTAACAGGGAATATCAAATTTTAGAAAAATGGATCGGTGGCCAAAGTCAACTACCCAAAAAATCGTGTTGGATTGGTAGATCGGAGAATCTATCAGTTTCAGCCAATTTTTTTTTTTAAAAAAATCACAATAACTTATCAAAAATATAGGTTTTTAGGTTTCTAAAGAAAATAGTGGTAATTGCATTATGGTTGTTCATTAATGTATCAAAAATATGTAAATACTGAGAATCTGTCTTATGTTTAGTGTTTGATGTTTTATAGTCAAAATAAAATTAAAAATACAACTCATGACAATAAATTGAATATCGCTACCACAATTTTTTTGGTATTAACAAATTTAATGAAATAAGTTGTTAGTAGAAAGAGATAAAGAGAGATAATTAATGGACTTGATTATTGATAGATACAATAAGAAAAAGAGAAAAATTTAGTAGAATTGATTATTAGTAGAGAAAGATAGATACCAAGGGAGAGAGAGAGAGATGGAGTGGACAAAGGGAAGGAGAGAGAGGAGGGAGGAGTAAGGAGAGAGAGATGCAAGAGTAGGAGAGAGAGAGAGAGAGAGAGGAAAACCACAAATATGTAATGGTCATTGATAATATAGACATTAGAGAGATCCACCTACAAATTGATTGGCAGTGAGGGATTGGATCAGATTGGGTGATTCCAATCGGAGTTGCTGAATTTTCAAATTTATGAGGAAGATTATTATACGAAGAGAGTGAAACTATTATGGGTGTGGTTTGTACAAGGCCGAGGCCCTAAACAATCAAAGTAGGGCGCACCTTCAAATAGTGCCGAAATATATTGTGTTAGTATCATAATTCTTTATGATGACCTGAAAATTTATTTTTATCTCTAATTATAAAATTTAAAGTTAAAAAATAGTGTAGATCGAACAAATCTACGAGCACTTGAAAAATCTTGAAAATTGACGGTTTTGATAATACAATTCATGAACTATTTCCAATACTTGAAATCTATTTTTTCTCGTATCTATATATCTTGAGGTCAAGATGATCAAATTAAGGGTTTTTCAGCATCAAAACAACTTTTTCTAATGAAGTTTTGAGATGCACGGCCTCACCCTTATATAAACTTTTTCCGATTATTATTACATGAAGAGAGAGATTATATATGTAAAGAAGATTATTATATGAAGAGAGAGAGGCTATTATTACATGAAGAGTGATTATGAAGAGAGAGAAACTATTATTACATGGAGAGAGTTAGAGAGAGATTATATGTGCAAGGAATATTTTTACATGAAGAGAGAGAAACTATTGATACATTGAAGAGAGAAATAATAATTACATGAGTGAGGTCCCTCGTAATAACCCAAGGACCCGGCCTCTCGTTTTCCCTATGTGGACGTTTACTTAGTCCCATGTTTTACTAGAGGGCAATCTTTCTATACTTTATTTATTGTATAAAACTTATATTCTTTCCCCTATCAAAATAAAATACTTTGAGGCGTTGGATCTAGATAAAAAACTTTTCCTGTTACTAAAATCGTATA